GTACAACATGCACACCTGAGCTGCAGGAACATCCCAGCCCACACTGCTCTCATGGTACTGTGTGACAGGTGATGACAGGTGCAATATCTGTGACTTGAGTTACAACTTGCAGGGAGTCTCACCAGTGCTGTTTCCAGCTAATGTCATCTGGCTGGATTGCACTCTGGATTTTAGTGGATTTCCTAGTTGTGATTTTCAGATGTAAGTGGACATAATAATGTCTACTTTAAAAGACAGGAAGGGATACTGCTGTTGGGAAGAGATGGAATTTTCCAGGTCTCCAAGGCTTCCTGGGAGATCTGGAGCAGGGTCTTCAACCTTGGCACTACTGCCATCTGGGGCTGGATCACCCTCCCCTCCTAGGGGCTGCTGTGCTGTGCACTGTAGGATGGTTAGCAGCCTCCCTGGACTCCACCCACTAGGTGGCAGTAGCAACCCTCCCATCTTCAATAGCTGGGCCAACAAAAAATGTTCCCAGACAATATTAAATATCTTCTGGGGGACAGATCTGTCCCCTGTTGAGAGTGATGCTTCAGAGATTCACAGGTGAATCCAGGTATCTGCAGGGAATGCGGGAAGCAAGTCATGTTCTGAAAGTCATGGGTGGATGTTTCAGGGAGCCAAAGGGAGGATCCTCTGTGCTAAAGTCTCCTGATGTCTATTCTCTACTTCTCACATTGCCTCAATAACTTTATAAGCCCTGGACACTTCATGCCTCATGGGCTTTTGGAGGCTTCTGCATGGTTTAGAAGGGCAGACGACAGATGTGACTTGGTGTAACTGACAAAATACAAACTGCTTATCAAATTCCCCTCCCGCTCGTCTGCAGAGTGCAATGGTGGGAACACATGCAGAAAAAAATAAATGTCTAAACATGCACCAGCAAAGACGGTATGCTGACTCTGAGCCTGGGAATGGAAATGTGAGACTCATCAAGTGTGTTGTGATAACTCCCCAGGGGCAAGAAAATTGCATCCTTCTCATGGGGACTGGAGGAGTCTAGAGTTGTCCACTCCTGAACCATATCCACTGCCTCCCCTGCATTATATCTACATTCCTATAACTATCTATAAGGCCCCGAGATCTAGAATCCTATCCATTTTCCACACACCCAACCATGTCCCTCCTTGCATGCATGGTATGTCTTCCATAAATAACTGGGTTCCTCACCCGTTATGTACAAGTAACCATTTGTATCTTTTAGTAGCCATTTCATTTGAGTAGGAAATCTGCAAGGCTCAAGCAGTCCCATTGTCTCAGAGCACAGTCTGTTTCCCTCACATAGTTGCAGACTACTATTAAGGTATCACAGATCATTTCCAGTGCCAGGCTCCCAGCAGGGCACAAGTGTTCAGTGAGGGTCCAGAAAGTTAGGGTCAGTTCCACTTCTTAAATATAGTATTAACAGGTTGCTTTTAAAAATGATATAGACTCTAGGATTCTGTATGTATTTTTTAGACTATAGAATTTCAATTGGATGCTCTTTCTTCTTCCTTCATTCCTTACCAAACCATGATGTCTTTCCTTACTCTTTGAAGCCATGCTCCATCTCTTCCCAGGTCTCCTGCTCCATAAACTGGGGACTAGGAGATCATGAACACATTCATGCAAAAAAACATACTCAGAAGTACCCACCATGTCAGGAAGACACCAGGACATGCCAAGTTCAGCCAGACATTTCCCACAGTTAATTCTGCTACTTACAAAATCTCCCCAATGCTTTCCTTTGTGATTCATGCCTTAGTCCCACAAACTGGGACACTCCATGTAATACCAGAGAAGGAAAAATTTGTAGAACATAATTTATTCCTGATTTACCTGGCTATGCTTATGTTTATTACAATCTAATTTAAAACTAATATGAAACTAAATGTATTTTAGAATCAGAGCTCTGCTCCATTATAATGCTCACACATATCTCCACCAAAAGACTGAATATACAAATAGACAATAGCCAGACTTTGCAGAAAAATAGAACTTTGACTCACAACCTGCAGCCACCAAACCAAGCAACAACCTAGGAACCAGCCTGCTGAAGGCCACTCTTGCATAGATGGAATGCTATTTCTAGTGACAACTCAACTCAGAACTCTTAATAATTGGCTCAAAATGGCCAAGACTCAATGAATAACTCACAGCTTCCTTATTTTTTTCCCTTATTCCTATGTAGGACTGACCAGGGAAAGGCAGATACATCCTCCTATTCACACACCTGCATGAGGTGTGTCTGCCTCCAGCTCCTTTCCATCATCAGGCGCCAACAGGTTACACCTGAAAATTCCTTTTTTTGCCCTATAATATTTACTACTCTTCTGCCTTAGAGTCTGGCAGAACCCAAATGATAGGTGTTTACTCCCTTGCTACAATAAGACCAGAATAGCTCACCTTTGCTGGTCTCCTTTGGCTGGTGTTTATTTCCACAGCACTCACCCTATAAGCAGGAGGATATGTACATTCTTAAGTCAACTGCTCTGCTCAACTGGTGGCTTTCCTTCTCAAGCAACTCAAAGAGGGTCTTAATTTTCAAAATATTGCCATCTTCAGAATGGGGCACATCTGTCCATGGCCAGTCTGCCAATGGCCACCCATGGAAAATAGAACATGCAGAGAAATACCAGGGCTATTTGAAATTGCTGAGAATTTGGGATGGCAGACAGGCTACTAGCTATAGAGAATTTGGCCACGGCAAGAAGCATGTGAAAAATGGAGACAGGACATTGCTCCCTGGCTAATTTTCCTAATCTTGTTAGGATTTTGTAATGAACTAACAAGAACCTTAGTTTTCATTGACAAGAACATCACACTGTAAGCCATCGTTCAATCTCTTGAAATTTTCTTGATCATATCTACACTTTTTAAAGGAGAACAGAAAAATACAGACCTTAGGTACTAATCGAAAAGTTTGCATTGTTAGATAGTAAGTAGTCATGAGCAGTGGAATGGCAGGCTCAAAGTCTTACTGGAAGTTAAAGTTTTCTTTGAGTTACTGCCAAGGCAGATGACCAAATAACTTGTAGAAGAAAAACACCAGTGCACAGACCTTGATAATAAAGAAACAAAAGTAAAAGGCGCTAAATGGGGGAATACATCACGAAGGAAGGACTAATGGGACTAATTCTTGACTAACCAATAAAGGTCAAGATATAACTAGGAATTATGGCTTCCAGTTTCCTTGCTGGTCTCCTTTGATCTCAGAAGAAGGCTTTTTCAGTGGTGCAGGTACAGGAAGGTAACCTGCTACCAGGCACTGACTTCAGTGCCCACATTTACATAGGACTTACTTGTAGATGAACCTCCCTGAGTATGATGGCCACCATGACAGTTCCAAAGAGGGCCAACTAGGTTTGAAAACTCACCACCCAGAGAGAAGGAGGACGCTGAACACCTAATTGATGAGACTGCAGACAATGGGCCCCAGTTCTCAAGGCAAGCATCAAACAGAAATAAATTTGGAGACAGCACTGTTTCCTTTGTCCTTCCCTCCACAGAGATGGCCCTGCTATCCCTTGAGAGTGCTCTCTGCTCATCCTTACTCTGCATTCACCCCTTTCTCACTCCGTTTCCATTTTATTTTGACTTAAAATAAAATTCTCTTGCATGACTTCTGGTGTCTGACTTTAAATTTTCTTTTTTCAGAACATGAGACCTGAGGTTGGGAGTTTCAGCACCCCACTCTCCTGTGACAGTATAATATATGGCAATGTTCTAATAATTGGGAAATCAAAATTGCAAAGGATTTTTTCTAAATAAGTGTGGGGTCATTTTCCCCTACTTTTTCAGCATTAGATTTTTTTTTTTGGTAGTGAGAGAATCTATGATGCTTGTTCTTTATGAACTTAAATCATGAATATCCACTGCTTATCCACTCAATACAACACTTACATATTGCCATACTAACATTTTGTTGGCTTTGGATTTATTCAAAAGTTAAGTATGAGTGATATGATCAGACCTGTGTCCAAATCAACTGGGCTTAAGCATAAAATAGTGTGATTCAGAAATCCTTAATTGTTGTTGTTTCCTGGTGACCTAGAGCTGTTCATTAAGTAAGCATTGTGTTTGCCTCGGTGGCCATCCACAGGCACTTACAGTGTGTACCACAATCCCAGCATCTGTGAACACCTAGTGTGCTTCCAAATGGGACAGAGCTCAGGCTCCAGCTGAATGACCCCCTGTCATAGAGATCTCCTCTCCTCTCACATCATGTTGGGAGAGAATAATTAAGTGGGAGTCCAGAGGTGAAGACACTGGGACACTGGGGTACAAATGATTGTTAAAGTTCAGTGAAAATTAATTTCAGATGATTGATAGCTTTGTGTTACTGTGATTTTATTTCCTTCCCAGCTTCCTGTCCTTCATGACACAGAGAATTTTTGAGTGAAGAACCCTATAGCTCCACATACATGCTGCCCTATATGCACAGCTTGGACAATGAATTTACATGCACATCTGCTTCATGAATATCACTTAATTATCATGATTAGCATCATTATCTCTTTCATGAGGTTGTTGACCAGGCAGAGAACTTGATAATTCAATACGGAAACTTGTGAAAAGACCCACCAACCTTTCAATGGAAACTATCAACATACGTGCATACACCTGGAGACTCTGGACACCTGCTTCCACCAATCCTCAACTGGGCAAGCACCATGATGAAAGCCCTGCTTTGTAAACCAGGCTTCAGACTCCCCATGAGACCTCCCCCAACCATAACGAGGTATGGCTCCTGCTCCCTTAAGTGGTGTTTCCCTCAACATGGCATGGAATAAGTTCAGCTTTGTTTTAGCAACGAGTTGTGCTGATGATATTTAGGAAGCAAGTCTTGGGTACCACTGAGGACTTTTTTCCACTAGAATTCAAGCAGATGTGAGCATGTGAGGCAGCTAGACTTCGTGCTGGCCCTTTGTTCATTACACTGTAAAATTATTGTATAGCATCATGTAAACTTTGGATATTTTCATTATCAAGACATTAGTTCTGGCCTATTCTTATAATGCTTGATTATAAGTTGATTTCTTTGTCTCTATTAGAATGCACAAAACTCAAATTTGGCAGTAGCTAGTTCAATCTTAGAGTTCATCAGAGTCCTTTACAGATATGACCTAATGTCAATAATTTAAGTTTCAAAGAAGAATTAGAATAGACAAAGGGTTACAGCCATGGCTTGGTATACACTCTCTCACAAGCCACACTAATCTCAGATGACTAACCAATTCAGTCTTATTCAAAGCTTAATCTAAAGGTGCTTTTCTCCTCTATTATTTTTCCTACTAGGCTTTGATGTGTTTATAAATGGAGGCAAGCTTACCAGAGAAGTTTCAGAGGAAATAAAAAAAGGCTTAAATCATTCATGAGTCAAACAGACAAATTTCAACCTCTGTAGGAAAAGGCTGAGCTCTTTGGTATAAGGCCAAAACAATTCGATACCAAGGAAAGGAACTCAACTTAATCGGATAATGCACTCATGTCCTCCTCAAGAATCCTTTCTCCAAGGATTTGCCTGGGAATAGGCTTTTATCTGAGGCTCTGCCTGGCTCCCTGGAGACTCCCAGAGACAGTGCTCTTCTGGTGGCCACATCTGGATAGAAGAGTGTTGTTCATGGAATTTCAAATAGAAGTTACCACTGTCTCCAACCCTACAGAGGGCATGTGTATTCTGGGTCACAAGATATGCTTGATCTCCTTTGTGTTTATGTGTTTGAATTTGTTTAAAGCAGGCTTATTTGGGTAGTTAAAACCCAAATTTTGTTAAGGCATAACAAGCCATCTCTCTTTTTATCCAACTTTGCAGATGTGTAGGATAACACAGTTGAAGGTGCTTGAGATCTCAGGTCCTGTCACTGCAGAGTGCTCTCCACTGCCCGCCCACACTTGGCTTCAGAGACCCACCGTGCATCCCTGGGCTACTTGGAAGAACAGAGATGTGATGCCCAAATACAAAATCTGGGCAGGAGGAGTAAGTTTCTTTCTTTCTTTCTTTCTTTCTTTCTTTCTTTTTTTTTTTTT